GAGTTTTGCTCTGTCCCTCAGGCAGGAGTGCAGTGGCGCGATCCCGGCTCACTGCAATCTCTGCCTCCCAGGTTCAAGTGATCCCCCCTGAGTAGCTGTGATTACAGGCGCCTGCCCCCACACCTAGCTAATTTTTTGTATTTTTAGTAGAGATGTGGTTTTGCCATATTGGGCAGGCTACTCTCTTAACTCCTGACCTCAAGTAATCCACCTGCCTCAGCCTCCCAACGTGCTGGGATTACAAGTGTGAGCCACTGCGCCCAGCCCCATCTCTATGTTCTTGACCTGCCACAATGCAGGGACTGAACAGAGAGAATTATCTGCTGATGGAAGGAAAGAAGGAAGGAAGGAAGGGATGGAGGAAGGGAGGCATGGTCTTTCAAAGCCAGTGAGTCACACTCTTTCAATTTCTAGAGCATTTGCTGTGTTCTTCCCACATCTATCTCCTTCTACCCACATCCAGCTCTTCCCCACATTACGCCTGTCATTCCAGCACTTTGGGAGGCCGAGGCAGGTGGATCACTTGAGAGACCAGCCTGGCCAACATGGCAAAACCCCATCTCTACTGAAAATACAACAAAATTAGCCGGGCATGGTGGCAGGTGCCTGTAATCCCAGCTACTCAGGAGGCTAAGGCAGGAGGATCACTTGAACCCAGGAGGCAGAGGTTGCAGTGAGCCAAGATCATGGCTAATTTTGGTTTTTGTAGAGATAAGATTCTGCCATGTTCCCCAAGATGGTCTCCTGGGCTCAACAGATATGCCCGCTTAGGCCTCCCAAAGTACTGGAATTACAGACGTGAGCCACTGCATCCAGCCATCTCTACTCTTTAAAAAAATTTTTTGGGGCCGGGCGCAGTGGCTCACGCCTGTAATCCCAGCACTTTGGGAGGCTGAGGTGGGCAGATCATGAGGTCAAGAGATTGAGACCATCCTCACTAACATGGTGAAACCTCGTCTCCACTAAAAATACAAAAATTAGCCAGGTGTGGTGGCACATGCCTGTAGTCTCAGCTACTTGGGAGGCTGAGGCGGGAGAACAGCCTGAACCCAGAAGGTGGAGGTTGCAGTGAGCCAAGATCCTGCTACTGCACTCCACCCTGGCAACAGTGTGAGACTCCATCTCAAAAAAAAAACCAAAAAAAAATTTTTTTTTGTAAATTTTTTTCTTTCTTTTCTTTTTTTTGTCTATCAGCAGCATATATTTTTTGTAGAGATGGGGTCTTGCTATGTTTCCCAGGCTTGTCTCAAACTCCTGTCCTCAAGTGATCCTCCTGCCTTGGCCACCCAAAGTGCTGGGATTACAGGCATGAGCCACCTCGCCCGTCTGTTATCTCTGTTCTCCTGTGGGGAGGGTGTACTGTGGGAGGGGTCTGCCTGGCTATGTCAGGGTTTTCACCACTCCCCTCACCCCAGCTTCTGAACACACACCTTCCATGAGGATCTCGATGACCTCATTCACGTTGAAGCTCAGCTCGTCCACGTCTTGGCCCACGTATTGGTACAGGGCCCGGCACCTGGGGCCATGTATCCGAGGCTGGGGCTTGGGTCGGCCGACACCAGGCACTGGCCGTTGCCCCACGCTGCGCTTCCTCTGCATGCTGTGGGCACAGGAAGTTCGAGTCATAGCCCCAGACACTCCCCTACCCCCTGCTTGTCTCCTGGGGCTGCCCTTCCACTCCACCTACCCGGCCATGCCCTGGTCAGGAACGTTGAGGAATTCTGTGTTGTGCTCCGAGGGCGGCCGTGCCCGGGGGCGTCTGCTGGCCCCCAGGGATGTGGACGGAGGGCCCAGGGGAGGCCGGTGGGAGCCCCCTCCAGACATGATCTCCAGGGGCAGGGGGCCCCCTCTGGCAGACGGGGGCACCCCATTGCGATCCATGCCTATGGCAGGAGTAAGGATGAAGACATGTATCAGGGTGATGCTAGGAGGATTTGAGGAGGCTCCAAGTTCCCAGTCTGAGGGAGGAGATTGTCCCAGTCTGAGGGAGGAGATTGTCCCAGTCTGAGGGAGGAGATTGCCATATTCTCAACCTAGTGTGGTAAGGACTGGGCCACAGGGAGGGATCTGGTGCTAGGAGGGCCTAGACAGAGGCTTCTAAATTTTTTTTTAAATTATTTTTTACTTTTATTTATTTATTTTGAGACATGGTCTCACTCTGTCTCCCAGGTTGGAGTGTAGTGGTGCAGTCGTAGCTCACTGAACCTACACCTCCTGTGTTCAAGTTGTCCTCCCTCCTTAGCCTCAGGGGGTGCTGGGACTACTGGTACACTCCACTATGGCCCGCTGATTTTTGTAATTTTTTTAGTAGAGTTGGGTTCCTTTTTTTTTTAGACGGAGTTTCGCTCTTGTTACCCAGGCTGGAGTGCAATGGCGCGATCTCGGCTCACCGCAACCTCCGCCTCCTGGGTTCAGGCAATTCTCCTGCCTCAGCCTCCTGAGTAGCTGGGACTACAGGTGCTCGCCACCATGCCCAGCTAACTTTTGTATTTTTAGTAGAGGCGGGGTTTCACCATGTTGACCAGGATGGTCTCGATCTCTTGACCTTGTGATGCACCCGCCTTGGCCTCCCAAAGTGCTGGGATTACAGGCGTGAGCCACCGTGCCCGGTCTTTAGTTGGGTTCTTACTATGTTGCCCAGGCCGGGTCCTGGCCTGGGCAACATAGCAAGAGCCCATCTCTACTAAAAATTCTTTTTTTTTTTGAGATGGAGTCTCTCTCTGTTCACTAGGCTGGAGGGCAGTGGTGATCTTGGCTCACTGCAAGCGATCCTCCCACATCAGCCTCCCAACATGCTGGTTTTACAGGCATGAGTCACTGCACTTGGCCTTATTTATTTATTTATATATTTAGAGACAGAGTCTCACTCTGTTGCTCAGGCTGGAGTACAATGATGTGATCTCAGCTCACCGCAACTTCTGCCTCCTTGGTTCAAGCGATTCTCCTGATTCAGCCTCCTGAGTGGCTGGGATTACAGGCATGTGCCACCACACCCGGCTAATTTTGTATCTTTAGTAGAGATGGGGTTTCACCATGTTGGTCAGGTTGGTCTCAAACTCCCAACCTCAGGTGATCCATCCGCCTTGGCTTCCCAAAGTGCTGGGATTACAGGCATGAGCCACTGCAGCCGGCTTTTTAAAATTTTTTGAGAGACAGGGTTTTGCTCTGTGGCCCAGGATGGAGTGCAGTGGTAAGACCATAACTCACTGAAGCCTCCAACTCTTAGGCTTATGATATCCTCTTCTGTCAGCCTCTGAGACAGCTGGGACTAGAGGCACACACTACCAGGCCCAGATTATTTGAAAATAATTTTTAGACCGGGACGAGTGGATCACACCTGTAATCGCAGCACTCTGGGAGGCTGAGGCAGGCGAATCACGAGGTCAGGAGATGGAGACCATCCTGGTTAACACGGTGGAATCCCGTCTCTACTAAAAATGCAAAAAATTTGCCAGGCGTGGTGGTGGGTGCCTGTAGTCCAAGCTACTTGGGAGACTGAGGCAGGAGAATTGCTTGAACCCAGGAGGCAGAGGTTGTAGTGAGCTGAGATCGCACCACTGCACCCCAGCCTGGGAGACAGAGTGGGACTCCACCTCAAAAAAAAAGTAAAAAGATGTAGTTTTCAGGGCTGCAGTGTTGGGTGGGAGGAGAGAAGATGTCAGTGGTTAGCTGGGTTTGGGTTTTGAAGGGCTCTGAATGCCACATTAAGCTTAGCCTTTATTCTGTGGGAGATGGGGAGCTATGAGAGTTCTCGACAGAGAAGTGAGTGGTCAACGGTGCTTGCTAGATTTCGTTTCCTGAAGGTCTGGCTTAGGCCATAGGACCCACAAGAGACAAGGGAAGATAGCAAGGGAGCAGCTCCTCACCTCTGGAGGGCCCAGGGGCTGCCCGGGTAGGGGCCGGGGTCGACCTCCGAGATCTTCCCTTGGCCATTCCCTTCCGTGTAGGCTCTGAAAGAAGTGTGTCAGGGATTTGTGTAATGGACAGACCAGCCTCTTGGCCCTGCCCACAAGCCTTGTCCATTCTGAGGCACCCCGGCTCTGCCCAGTAATTGGCCCTGCCCCCAATGCCTCACCCCTCACTGGCCTTGCTCTTCGGGCCCGCCCACTTTAGGACACGACTTCACCACTACCTCTTTCCCAGTTGCCGCTCTGGCCACACCCCTCTACATTTCTCACCTCCCCATTGGTCACGTCTTCTCTTTAACTGTCATTTTCTCTCTCTAGACCCGCCCCTTCCTTGCTATTGCCCACTCTGGTCCACCCTCGCTGGCCCCGCCCCACTGTTTTCATTGGTTTTCTCCATGGCCGTGCCCCGCCTCCACATTTGGGCCACTCATTGGTTGCGGCCTTTCTTTAAAAGTCTCTCCTCTCCCCCATTTCCCCTCTTCCTCCTCTCTCCCCTCTCTCCCTACTTCTCCCCCCTCCCCTCTCTTTCTCCCCGCTCTCAGTTCTCTCTCCCTCTCTCTCTCCCCCATCCCCTCCCTCTTCTCTCCGTATTCTCTCCCCTCTCTCCCCACTCCTCCTCCTCCCCCTTCCCCCTCTCTCCCCCTCCCTCCCATTCTCTCCCCCGTCTCTGCCTCCCCTTTCTCCCCTCCCTCTCCCCTTCTCTCTCCTGTTCTCCCTGCGCCCCACGCTCTCTCTCCCCTCATCCCCTGTCTCTGCTCTCTTCCCTCTCTCTCTCTCCCCACCTCTCCACTCCACTGTCTTCCTCCCCTCTCTCCCCTACTCTTCCCCCCTCTGCTCTCTCCCCTCTCCATTTCCCTGCCCTCCCCTCTCTCCCTTATCTCTCCATCCCCTCTCTCTGTCCCTCCTTTCTTGACCCTCCCCTTCCTGGTCTTTGTTCACTTTTGACCAACCTTGCTGGCCCCACCCCCTCCCCGCCCCCAAAGCCTTCATTGGTCCGCTCTTCCCCGCCCCCTCTGCCCTAGTTCCGCGCAGACTCACTGGAGCTCTTGGGCAGCCCATCGCCCACGCTGACCGTGAGGGTCCGGCCGCCAACCTTGAGCACTGACAAGTCGCCGGAGCCGCGGGAGAAGGTGACGCTGCGGGTGCCGCCACCGCCCCAGCCCTCCTTCTTCACCCGGAACTGTAGTCTATGGGGAGAGGGGAAAGCTTGGGGGCGCTGACCTGGGTCCCCGTCCCACCTCACCCCGCGCTGGGGCGGGAGGGAGTACAGCACACCGAGATCACCCCGAGATGGTGCTGGGGTTGGCGGCACCTCCCGCCCCCACAGGATGGTGCTGGGGTTGACGGGCCGTACGTGTCGCTGAAGGTGAGGGGCAGGGGCCTCCGCGTTGCCTCCTCGAAGCGCTTGCACAGAAGGCTGACGAACTCGGTCTTGAAGACGCTCTCCAAGAAGCTGTCTGCGGTGTCCTCCTGGAGGACGAAGAAGTCGTCCTGTCGTGTGCTGGGGAGGGGCGGATGAGAGCGTCAGGTGGGACACTGGTGAGAGGGACAGGTGAGAGCGGCAGGTGAGACTGACAGGTGAAGGTGGCTGAAGGTGGACTTAAGGAAGGGTCAGTTAAGGGCCAAGTGAGGGGTGACCAGGTGGGGAAAAAACGGGGAAGCGGCAAGGAGTGGGAGAGGTGGTTACAAAAGAGAGCCAGGTGAGGTCTAGTAAGAGGGTAAGGTGTGGCTCACGCCTGTAATCCCAGCACTTTGGGAGGCCAACGCGGGCTTATCACGAGGTCAGGAGATCAAGACCATCCTGGCTAACACATCTCTACTAAAAATACAGAAAATTAGCCAGGCGTGGTGGGGGGTGCCTGTATTCCCAGCTACTCAGGAGGCTGAGGTGGGAGAATCGCTTGAACCGTGGAGGTGGAGATGCAGTGAGCTGAGATCGTGCCACTGCACTCCAGCCTGGGCCAAAGAGAAGACTCCATCATCTCAAAAAAAAAAAAAATATATATATATATATATATATATGGGGTAAGGTGCAGGACAGAAGCTATTGGCAAGTAAGGATCATGAGCATAGGGGGCAGGTGAACATGTCAGGCGGGGCCAAGAGAGGGCTACAGGCATGTCACCAGGTGAGATTCTCAGGGTAACAGATGGGGTCACTAGAATTCGGGCAGCTAGGGGACAGGTGAGAGTGACTGTGGGGCAGTTAGGGACCTGGCTTCACCTGAGGGAGACTCCCCGCAGAGCCTGGATGTCCAGCTTCTTCTTCAAGACTTCACGCACCTGGCCCTTCTCGGGTCCCTTCTTCACCTTCTCTCGCCCAATCACATACACACACTTCGGCGTCAGGATCAAGTCCCGCTTGATGGGCTGTGGGGATGCATTATTATAGGCCAGTGGCTGGAGCTCTGGGCATGCAGCCTGGCCAGCCTGACCACAGAGGGTCCACTCCAGGCAGAGGGATGGTGCTGGCAGGTCAGGTGAGCAGGGTGAGATGTGTATGAATCTGGGTGAAGGTGTATGAATTGTCTGTTTTGTAGGGTCTTACTCGGTCGCCCAGGCTGGACTGCAATGGTGCCATCATAGCTCACTGCAACCTCGACCTCCCAGGCTTGAGTGATCCACCTGCCTCAGCCTCCTGAGTAGCTGAAACCACAGGTGCATGCCACCATGTCTGGCTAATTTTGGTATTTTTTGTAGAAACAAGGCTTTGTTCTGTTGCCCAGGCTGGTCTTGAACTCCTGAGCTCAAGCAAACTGTTCTTTTTGGCCTCCCAAAGGGCTGAGATTTCAGGTGTGCACCACTGTGCCTGGCCATGAGTTGTTGTTATATTAGAAATAGAAGGAGAGTCTGGGCGCGGTGGCTCACGCCTCTAATCCCAGCACTTTGGGAGGCGAAGGCAGGTGGATCACGAGGTTAGGAGTTTGAGACCAGCCTGGCCAGTACAGTGAAACCCCATCTCTACTAAAAATACAAAAATTAGCTGGGCGTGGTGGTGCACACCTGTAGTCCCAGCTACTTGGCAGGCTGAGGTAGGAGAATCGCTTGAACCTGGGAGGCGGAGGTTGTGGTGAGCTGAGATCGCTCCACTGTGGTCCAGCCTGGGTGACAGAGTGAGACTCCATCTCCAAAAAACACAGAAGGAGGCCAGGTGGGAATGTGTTGGTTGGCTGGAAAAGGGTGTTTGGATCAGTGAATAGGTGCTGGGTAGATGAGGCACCTGCTGGACATGGGTGCCTGGGCCAGATAAGAGCACTTAGGCCAGGTGAAAGTGCTTGGGTCATGTGACTGTATCCAACTCACGTAAAGGCATTATACTTCAGGTGAGGGTGTACAAGTCAGGTAGATAAGAGTATCTGGATCATGAGAGGGAGTGAGAAGGTGTATATCTGAACCCTGAATTTGTACAGGAAGGCCGGTGAGGGTGTACCTAGTAGAAGTGTGACTGTGAAGGCCAGTTGAACTGGCCATGGTCAGAGTCCTCTAGGTCTAGAGGGGAAACCTGTCTAGGTGAAAATATTTTAGGTGATGCTTACAGTTCAGCCAAGAGGGCACACTTGCCACATAGACCTGTCCAAAGCAGGTGTGTGGATCAGGCGAAGGTGCCCAATACTGTATGTCTGCTATGTGAGGTTGTACAGATCATGTGAGGATGCACCTGCCATATAAACTTGTCCAAGGTAGGTGAGGGTGTCCAGGCCATATGAGAATATGTAAAGGTAAAGATGATATATAGGTTATCTCAGTGGGTACCTGCCACACATAGTCCTCTCTAAGGTGGGGAAAGGATGAGTTACTGGGCTAGGGGACAGGGACATGAGATATGGGTCAAGTGAGGGTGTACCTGGCTTGCCCAGGTACAGCTGAGGGTAAACAGGCCACGTCTGGGTGTACCTGTGGAGAGGAATGTCCAGGCTAGGTGATTAGAGTATACCTGTGCTCAGGGCTGTCTGGGCCAGAAGAGGATGTGTCTGTTGGTGGAGGTGTCCTGCTATCTATGCCAAGCATGAGTGCACGGGTCAGGTGGTATATTTCTGTGGACAGCATGTACCTATAGAGTAGGTTGCCTGGACCAGGTGAGAGTGTACCTATGGACAGGTGTGTCTGGGCCAGGTGAAGGTATATCTGATTGCCAGGGTGAAGGGAGAGTGTACCTAATGGATAGGTATGTCTTGGATAGGCGTGTCTAGGATAGGTGATGGTGGCCAGGGCTTCTGGACAAGATGAGTGTGTAATCGTGGACAGATGCATCTGGCCAGGTGAGGGTGTATCTGACAGGTGTATCTAGGCTACAAGTGCATGTTTGATGGACAGCTGTGTCTGCTGTACTTGAATGCATACCTGTGGGCAGGTGTGCCTGGTCAGGTGAGGGTATACCTGTGATGGAACAGATGGATGTGGGCTGGAGGATGTATACCTGTGGCCAGGTATGTCTGGGCCAGGTGAGGGTGTACCTGTGATGGAACAGATGGATCTAGGCTGGGGGATATATACCTGTGGCCAGGTGTGTCTGGGCCAGGTGAGGGTGTGCCTGTGATGGAATGGATGGATCTAGGCTGGGGGATGTATGCCTGTGGGCAGGTGCATCTAGGCCAGGTGAGGGTGCCAGGCTGCAGCCAGAGTCTTGTCATGCCCACCCCCTAGTGCCTCACCTTGAAGCGGCGGTCGTACTTGGTGACCGAATCAGCGAAGTCCACTCGCTCCCTCTTCCCCAGGAATTGACGCAGCTCTGGCCGCTCCTCCAGCCCCAGGTAGTCCCCGACGAAGTTCCGATTGATGCTGTTGCGCCTCCGCTCCTTCTTGTTAAGCAGGATGTTGGAAGCTGCAGGGACCAAGGGCGGAGACCAGAGCTCCTGACAAAACTCCTCCAGGTCCAGGTGTCCCCGCCCTTAGCCTTTCACCCAAAGCCTCTCACCTTCCTCCCGCATCTCCTCGTACTTCCGGACAGCCACGTGGCGCCGCCAGGCCTTCTGGATGGTTCGAGCAAAGCCATCGAACTTCCGCTCTCGCATCTCCTCCAGGAGGAAAAGCTGGGTGGGGGTGGGGGGGCACGTGGGTGAGTCCTGGTGTTTCCCCAGCGGCTGCAGTTCCCAGTTTCCCTGGGCTCACCCTACTCACAATGCTCTTGCTCACCCACACCCACACACATGCTAATTTTTTTTGAGAGATGGGGTCTTTCTATTGACACTTATTAAACAAGAAAAAGGGGCTGGGCATGGTGGCTTAGGCCTGTCATTCCTAGTACTTTGAGAGGCCAAGGTGGGTGGATCACCTGAGATCAGGAATTTGAGACCATCCTGGCCAACATGGTGAAACCCCGTCTCTACTAAATATACAAAAAAATAAAAATAAAAAATAAAAAATGCTGGTGTGGTGGTAGGCCCCTGTAGTCCCAGCTACTCAGGAGCCTGAGTCAGGAGAATCACTTGAACACAGGAGGCAGAGGTTGCAGTGAGCCAAGATCGTACTACTGCGCTCCAGCCTGGGCAAGAGCAAGACTTGGTCTCAAAAAACAAAAACAAAAAGAAAAAATCGGCTGGCCTCGGTGGCTCATGACTGTATTCCAAGCACTTTGGGAGGCCAAGGTGGGTGGATCACGAGGTCAGGAGATAGAGACCATCCTAGCTAACATGGTGAAACCCTGTTTCTACTAAAAATGTAAAAATTTAGCTGGGCATGATGGCACGTGCCTGTAGTGCCAGCTACTTGGGAGGCTGAGGCAGGAGAATCGCTTGAACCCAGGAGGCGGAGGTTGCAGTGAGCCGAGATTGTGCCACTGCACACCAGTCTGGCAACAAAGCGAGACTCCCATCTCAGAAAAAAAAAAAAAAGAAAAAGACAAGGACTTGCTCTGTCACCCAGACTAGAGTACAGGGGTGTAGTCACAGTTCACTGCACCTTCAACCTCTTGGATTCAAGCAATCCTCCCTCCTCCGCCTCCTGAGTAGCTGAGACTGCAGCTGTGAGCCACCATGCCCAGCTAATTTTATTTTTTGTAGAGATGTGGTCTTGCCATGTTGCCCAGGCTAGAAACATTTTTTTTTTGAGATGGAGTTTTGCTCTTGTTGCCCAGGCTGGATCTTGGCTCACTGTAAACTCCGCCTCCCGGGTTCAAGCAATTCTCCTGCCTCAGCCTCCTGAGTAGCTGGGATTACAGGTGTGAGCCACCATGCCCAGCTAAATTTTTTGTATTTTTAGTACAGATGGGGTTTCACCATATTGGTTAGGCTGGTCTCGAACTCCTGACCTCAAGTGATCTGCCTGCCTCTGCCTCCCAAAGTGCTGGGATTATAGGCATGAGCCACTGCACCCAGCTGGAAACATTTTTATCATCCTGCAAATGACTGGACCTCCCTATGTGGGGTACACACTTCTGCATTACAATATAACAGTGGGTCACCACTTCAGATTGCAGCTGTGCCACTTTCTACCTGTGTGCCCTTGCCAGAAACAGTATAACATCACGGTTTCTCACACTGTTAGTACAGATAGTTATGCCGTCCATATAAGGTACACCCCAGTGTCAGAGATGGTAGAAACGGGAACCAGTGTGCATCTTGGAAAACCAATAAAATACAGTAAATAAGAAAATCTGGCTGGGTGCAGTGGCTCATGCCTATAATCCCACACTTTGGGAGGCTGAGGCATGTGGATCACCTGAGGTCAGGAATTTGAGACTAGCCTGGCTAACATGGTGAAAACTCCGTCTCCACTAAAAATACAAAAAAAAAAAAAAAAAAAAAAAAAAGAAGAAGAAGGACGAGGATCAAATCATTAAAATCCAAGCAAGGGGGAAAAGATGGGACAGCTATCTGAAAAAAAAAAAAAAAAAAAAAGTCTGATGTGTAGGACTGTGTTGTGACTGGCGACTGTGTGGTTGAGTAGTGTACAACCTGCACAGCCATCCATGGCAGGCCCAGAAAGGAAGCTTTTGCAGAAAGCAGAGGAAAGGGTTTTGAGTTGTAAGAGTCTAGGCCCAGAGGTGAGTTAGAGAATGAATTACATTAGAGCAAGTCAAAGTGCAAACTCTGAGAGGAATGTCTTTTCATTTGGAATAATAGCAGGTGAACAAGGTGAGCCTGGATACAACAACCTACTTTTAGTGAACTATTGGATATTAAAATACCGTAAATCTATCATAATAAAAACAATGGCGTGCCTGTCAAAGAACAGAACAATTAACTGGAATAGGGCAGATGCCTGAGAAACATCCTAATTCAAAGAGAAACTGTGATCAAAGGGACAATATTATCAATTAGTGAAGACGGGAAATACTGCAAATACAGGCTGGTGCGATGGCTCATGCCTCTAATCCCAGCACTTTGCGAGGCTAAGTGGGAGGAGCTTGAGCCTAGGAGTTCAGGACCAGCCTGGGCAACATAGAAAGACCCTGTCTCTACAAAAAATTAAAAAAAACACACAAAAATTAGCCGAGGGTGTTTCCCAGGCTGGTCTGAATTCCTGGCTTCAAACCATCCTCCTGTCTCAGCCTCCCAAAACACCGGCATTATAGGCATGAACTACCGCACCTGGCCTGGTGCTGGTTTTATTTTGCTTTTTTTCTGTTCTATGTCAAATGTTTTGGTCTGTTTCTTCCAGAGTCTCTCTCTCTCCCAGGCTGGAGTGCAGTGGCGCCATCTCAGCTTACTGCAACCTCCGCCTCCCAGGTTCAGGCAATTCTCCTGCCTTAGCCTCCCAAGTAGTTGGGACTACAGGCACGTGCCACCATACCCAGCTAATTTTTGTGTTTTTAGTAGAGATGGGAGTTTCACCATGTTGGCCAAGATGGTCTGAATCTCCTGACCTCGTGATCTGCCCAGCTTGGCCTTCCAAAGTGCTGGGATTACAGACGTGAGCCACTTAGTCCTGCCGACCAGAGTGTCTCTCTCAGTCTCTCTCTCTCTCACTCGCAGTCTTTCTTAATCTCTTGCTCAGTCTCTCTCAGTCTATTAATTTCTCAATTGCTTTTTCAATTTCTCTTTCAGTCTCTCAATTTCTCTGTCAGTCTCCCTTTGTCAGTCGCTCTCAATCTCTTTCTCAATCTCTCAATCTTTCTCTCCATCTCTGTCTCTCTCTGTCCCTCTTCCTCCTCCTCTGTCTGTCCCTCAAACGCACTCACCGACTCCGGGTTCTTAACAAAGACCTTGGTGCTTCCCATCTGGTACTGGTCAGGCTCCATGTTGACCGCCCGAAGCAGGTGCTGGACGCCCTGGCGTTCGTCCCCACGCCACCGGGGCCACGTTTCGGGGGTCAGAATGGCATACCTGGGTGGGGAGGGCCGGGGTGTGGGAGTGCTTGGAGTAGACATGGCCTGCTGGGCGTTCTGATTGAGGGGATGGCAAGGGCGGGGATGGGAGGGCTCCGCACCTCTGCAGAAACTTGGCGAACTGGCGGCGGTAGGCGAAGCCGGCTCTGCGCACCCTGATGTTCTCCTTCAGGCCCAGGTATTCCACCTGGTGCTTGACCCTGGTGGGGAGGGTAGACTGAGTCCCCTGCTCAGGGGGCTGGGGGGACAGTCACCAGTCCTGGGGGTGGGTGGGAGGTGCTGGAGGTGGGGGATTTGGGGGGCTCTGGATTCATGCTGAGGGAAGTTTGAGGGGTAAGTTCTGTGGTCTGGGGGGGACTTCAGGGGTCAGCCTGGGGACTGGGGGAAGGGATCTTATCCTGATGGTCCCTTCTGAGGTCAGTTTGCAGGTGGGGGTGGAGGGAGGGGCTGTGCTAGTCCCTGGGTCATCCTACAGGAGGTCAGGGAAGTGTCTCGGTCAGTTCTGGGGGTAACCGCAGGGCCCTGAGGGGATGAGTCTTGGATGGGTTGGGAAGATCACCTGTTCTCCTCCCAGTCCCGGGGCCTCTTGGTCTCGTTGGGTTTGATGCAGCGGATGTAGTGGGGTGTGCACCTCTTCAGTGTGGCCACCAGGTCGTTGGCTTGTTTCTGGGGCAGAAGTGGAGACGGGTGGGTGGGGGGCACAGAGATGGGACCCTCTGGACTCTTTCTTTTCCCCCACCCTAGATACAGTCTCAGGAGACAGAGACACACTGGGGGTGGGTGAGGGCTGGTAACAGGTAGGCCACAGAGGCCAGATGTCCCAGGCTGTGTTCACCTCAGCTTGTGCATACCACACTAGTGGGACTGATGTGGGGTGTCTGCCTGACCCTTGAACCCAGGACGACGAGCTCTCACATCTGTCACACTCACCACTTAGCTTGGCACATAGTAAGTGCCTAGTAGTAAATGTTTGTTTGTTGACTGAGTAACAGAGCCCTTGAAAGAGCATTTCTTTTTGTCCTTTGGGGAGACAGGTACCTTGGGTGGTGTTTTTTTTTTTTTTT